GGAACTGACATTAGATGAACTTCATTTATTAGTTACCAAATACCTTTTCAACTAAATACTAAACCAATTGCTCAACACCCATATCAACTAATTGCTATTAAAAAAGAATTTCTTGAAAAAGAAATTGAGAAGATGTTAGAAAAAGGTATTATATAACCCTTAGAAAGTCCATGGGTCTCTCTTGTCATTATTGTTCTAAAGAAAACTGAAGATTTAAGAATTTGTATTGACTATCATTCTCTAAATAATGTAACTATTACGGATAGTTATCCTATTCCTTATGTACAAGATCAATTAGAAAGTTTTCAAACTACTAAATACTTTACAGCTCTAGATCTTGCTAGTGGATATTGGCAAGTTGAAATGGATCCAAAAGATAGATAGAAAACTGCATTCATTACTCTTTCTGGATTATATGAATTTATAGTAATACCCTTCAGTTTAAAAAATGCACTAGCTACCTTTCAACGTCTAATGAATAAAGTATTACATCAATTTATTGAAAATTTTTGTGTAGTATACTTGGATGATATCATAATCTATTCTATACATTTCAAGATCATTGCAAACATTTACAGCTAGTAATAAAAAGATTAAAAAAAGTGAATCTAAAAATTAAATTGGAAAAATGTTTTTTTGTCTACATGAATTAGAATATTTAGGATATATTATAAGAAGCAATGGTATCAAACCAGATTCTAAAAAGTTGTAAAATATGAAGAATTTACCTATGCCTAAAATACCAAAGGAAATTAGAATAGCTTTAGGATTATTCACTTATTACAGACATTTTATTCAGAACTTTGCAAAAATTGCAGGACCTTTACATGATTTAACCAAAAAGAATAAGGAATGGAATTGGACTAATCAATATCAAGATTCGTTTAACACTTTGAAAAAAAATTAATAGAAGCTTCTGTTCTAGCCCAACCTGACCTTAGAAAAGTTTTTATATTACAAATGGATGCTTCTGATGAAGGATTAGATGCTATTCTTACTCAAAAGGATGATCAAGATGCTGAACATTTAATTGCTTTTGTTAGCAGAAAATTATCTGATCTGGAATTGAAATATATTACTATAAAAAAGAATGTTTAGCTGTACGATAGGCTATTGAACTTTTCAATCATTATTTATACTACAAGCTCTTCGAAGTAATTACTAATTATTCAGCTCTTAGATGGTTATTAACTACTAAACATCTTAAAGGACGCATAGCAAACTGGGCCTTATTCTTACAAGGATATGATTTTTCAATTAAACACAGAGCAGGCAACAAATACCAAAATGCTGATATCTTTTCAAGATTAGTACCTATTAACATAATTGAAACTTATAATTCAGATGAAGACACAACTAATAATTCAAAATGAATTCAAGTACATTTCTCAACACTTAATATATCAGAATATCAAACCAAATGGCAATGAAATGGGTTAGCTAATAATCATAATTATAGAAGAAATACTTATTTATATAAAGAAACTGACTACCATTTCTATTGGTATTGCAAAAATTATTTTCACTATGTGAACTCTTATAGCATATTTCAACTCTAAATGAAAATACTTTATGTAAATGTAATGAAGAATATCAAGAATTTTCTGATTACATCCATAAAGAAAGTTATTCACTCTTAGAATCAAACGGAGAAAATATGTACCAATATTCACACAATGATAGTAATTATGAATCAAACTATAGCTTAGAAGAAGATAAATCTCTTATTGATGGAAAAAGCCACGATTGGTGACAAGACATGCATAATATTTACTTACAAGCCGCTAAATTTAAATAAGTCACTGTCAAATAAATAAAAATTAATACTCTAGTTGAAACTAGGTAAGACTATTCTGTTAATTGTACTCTCTGTAAAAAGAATATTACAACTGAATTAGAACATAATTGTATCATTGGATATGAATTAGAACAAATCCATCCTGACATGAAACCTGAAGCCCTAGTTAATGAAGTATTTTAGAAAATACCAGAAGCAGTACAACAGCAGGACAAAGCTCATTGAAAAGCACATTACTTTCAGAATGAAGACGAATGGACACAAGAAGAGTTAGATAAATTATTTGATAATTATGAACTCTTATCACCCCTATTTTTAGTCAAACCACAACCTCTAACTTAGATTTTTAATTATATTCTATCATATCGCATTTTATCTTTAAATTATTATTATTTCATATTTTATTTATATTTTATTAAAGAGATAACACCTAGTTGAATAGCATTTAGCGAGTAAAAGTCTTATATATTATTATTATTATAATTGAGTGAAAGCGTAAGTGTAAGTAGTGTGACTTATAGCTCAATTATTCAACATGAACATACAACAATATTGTAATATTTAACAATATCTAACTCATAACAAATATCCTGATCAGATTTAAACTAATAAGGAAAAGAAAAGAATTATAAATATGGCGAAATTCTTTACTATTCAAGATTCAAAATTATATCATTTCGATAGAAGAAGACCTGGACAATTATTACAAGTTCTTAAACAATATGAATTAGAACTCGTCTTTTATATGATGCACAATAATCCAATAGCTAGATATTTTAGGCGAGAAATAATATTCAATAAAATTAGGACACAATACTATTGGCTAAAAATGTATGAAGATATCAAAGAATATGTCAAAATCTATGATTCTTATCAATGAAGAGGAGGACCAAGTAAAAATAACAAACTATATTCTAACCCACCTCATAGCCCCTTTTATCAAATAGGAATTGACTTTATTGGCCCTTTACCTATCACCCCTCAAGGAAATCGATATATTATCATAGCTGTTAACATATTCACAAAATGGCCAGAAGTAAGAGCCGTTACTGAAGCTACTGCTAGTCAAGTTGCTCTCTTTATCTATGAAGATATTATTTGTAGATATGGATGTCCTATAAAGATTTTATCAGATCGAGGCACTCATTTCAATAATGTCATGATAAAAGAACTAATGAACAAATTTGAAATCAAGCATCATAACTCTATACCTTACCACCCACAAACAAATGGATAAGTAGAAAGGTTTAATAAAACCTTAAAGGAATCTCTAGCAAAAATTATAGAAGAACAAACTGAATGAGACTTGCATATAGCTCCTATATTATTTGCATATCAAACAGCCTAACAATCAACTACCAAAATAACACCTTTTCTATTAACGTATGAAAGAGAAGCAAAACTACCTCTTGATGATCATATCGATCAAAAAAATAAAAATTTGATTGACAGAATTTGACAAATTATAGAAAAATTACCTGATATCAGAGAAAAAGTAAAACAAACAATGATCGATATAAAGAATAAACAAAAAATAGTACATGACAAAAATTTGGCTAAGCCAATATCATTTGATATAGGACAAAAAGTTTTGTACTATGATGTTGCATGAAGCAATTAATTCTCTAGCAAACTAGAACCTAAATGAAAAGGACCTTATCAAATTCATAAGATTTTGATAAATGAATCTTATCATCTAAAGGAAATAGATGGACACTTTTTGACTAAACCAGTAAATGGTGATTTAATAAAACTATATCATGATTAGCAATCATGGGAACTAATGGTAATGATTACATAAGTAATAATTTTCAATGAATATAAATAGACCTCAAGTTCTTGAAAATTCAGCAAACAATAGAAAACCTTTTTAACAATCTCATTCAATTGGAACCTACCCTTGTATCTGAGTGGAATAAACCTTATTATAAAATGGATAACCTTAAACTAAAGCTCAAAAATTGCAACAACAACTTCAACGTTGCAAGAATTTGAAGAATAGATTTGGAATGTTAATGAATATGTATTTTATTGGAGAACTCTTAGACTTATTAGAAGATATAGATTATAAACAAGTAAAATTAGTATTAAGTTCATATTAGTATAAAGTATCAAACAAGATTTTTATTTTATTTTCAGAAATTGGAATAATTCAATTGCTTAGAACTAAAACGTTGATGACCACACAAATGAAACGCCTCACAAAAATTGAAATCCAGAACTTGATTTCTAGGACGAAATTATTTCTTACTATAATATTCAAAATTCAAGTAAAGGAAGAATTGTCAACGAAGCAATTGGCCAGTCATAGTGAAGTCACGTGAATAACACAGTATGATGATCTCTTAATCCAGAATTCTGAAAATACTGAGAATTCTGCGAATTCCGAAAATATAGAGGATCTATGTAATTCTGAAGATCTTCCAAATACTAATGATAATCCTAACTTTACAAATTAAATAAAGTTTAAGAATATTTAGTGTTATACATATTTTTAATATTCTAAATTTTATTGTTATTTTTATTTTATCTTATATTTTTATTATTTTACGTATTTTTATTATTCTTAATGTATTTATTTTGCTAAATTAGTTAGTTTATAGCATAGTAAATAGTTAGCTAAACAAAAGAAATTTTGTATAAATAGATAGACTTTTTACTTATATTGTAAATTAACTTTTTTGCGAATATGAATTTTAATATTAATAAAGGAATCAATTAAAACTTATATCTTTCTGCCTCTTTGTGTCTTCATATAGTTTGACGTGATCCCTACACATTATTTGTAATTGAGTTCATCATCTGAATTCTTTAATAAAAACTGTTCATAATCTCATCTTTCAAGTCTTCATACTTGATAGATTTATTTAAGTCTAATGCGTAAATTTAGTAGAATTAAGAGTTAGGCAGATCTTAATGTCTTGACTGCAGTAAATCACAGTTAAAAATTTTGAGTAGAGACCTGATAATGTGATCACCTCAAGTTGAAGAATTCTACAGTAACACTATTTATTAAGAATAAATAACTCAAGATACTCTTGTTATTCATCAAGTTCTTTACCAAGAAAAAAATATTCTCGTTATTCTTTACTAAAAAGAAAAGGTTTAAGATGCACTTGTTACTTGTCAAATCGTTCACTAAGGTAAAAAAGTATATATTTATAAAATCTACATTGAGAATCTAACAACCTTTAAGGATTAGAAAGGGTCATATATCAAGTATTAGAAGAAGTCATTCGCTAAGTATTCAAAGGAGCCGTTCACTATCTGTTCAAGATTCAAGAGGCCATTCGTCATCCATCAAGAATCTAAGAGGTCATAATAATAACCATTCATCTACCATCATAGACTCAAGAAAATTTGGTAATAGCCGTTTATCAAAGGATATAATAATGGTATAGTTTAGTTAATATTTTTTAAAAGAATATATTTTTACTATTAATGATATTAATTTACAATAATCAAGGCCCTAAGTAAAGTCATTAATGTACTTACAGAAGAGGTTTGAAATATCAAAACAGTCTTTCAATCAGAACTGGATGAGTTGTTTCAATCAACTCAATATAATCGAAGAAGAATATTAATAACTCTAGCATCAGAAGTTAGCTATTATCATGCTCAAAATGTTCTTGAAGATATGAACGAAAACACTAGTCGAAATAGTCCAAATCGGCCTAAAATCGGATAGCTGATTTTAGGCTGATTTTGATACTATTTACGGCCAATTTGCCATATTTTCTGATCAGCACAAATAGGTGCCGATAGATGCTGATCAACCCCAATCGGACATGGCCATTCAAAACTTAAATTCAACCATAAATCAGCCTAAAACTGGCCTCAATTCGGCAACAA